TTACATTTTTTGAGACCAACAAAACAAAAAACAATTGTCAAATAATCAAAATAGGGGGGTCCAGTACTCACTGACTCCCCCTATTTTTTAGTACATGCGCCAATGACTTCCAAACGATATTTTTTCAGGTAATCATTTATTGTTAAAAAAAAATTGTCTTTTGTAAAATTTTGATAAAATGATTTGTTTTAGAGATAATTTGTAAAGTATGGGTCCACCGTCGGCGGTATAATCCGTCTTATTCCTTTTCTCTAATTTAACCGACCTTGTAGCTGTTTAAATACAAAAAATATACCTATCCATAAATAGAAAAATACTTGGTGCATCCCTATATTAAGTGATTTTATTACTTTAAATATTTACTGTAAGTTTTTGTGTAATAATTAGGAATTAAGACGTATAATAATAGTAATGGTTTTAATGTAAAACCCTAATATTGTGTTAATGATACATACAAAAAAAACAAGCTAAACATTGCGAACGATAGTTAAAACAAAAACTACATGCATATTCAGGTCATGTGCTTGTGTGAAAAGTTTTAAAAATTCCTATCACTTGCCGTAAAACCACTTAAAACATTGAAACTTAAAATGTGGTGTCATGTTAAATATTAAAAACCTTAACATAAATCAAAATAAACTTTCCAAACAAAATATTATTTAAAGAGATTAATATTTTGTATGGACCAGGTAAACTATTTAACCCGTCCAAATATCAATTTACTCTGCAAGGCGATAACTGAATGTACAAAAATACAGATTTAAAAAAGAGCTGATAAAGAAAAACTGATTTCATATTTGGATTCAGCGCCTCAAAATGAACTAAAATTAATTCTTATTTCGCGTTGTATACGAAAAGTTCATGTTAATTGAAAGGCAGCAAGCGCTGGAATTAACAATGCGGCAATGCATCGAAGTTTGGGCCATTATAAACTAAACGTAATACATATAATGGCGTTTGACGAACCATGTAAAGTGATTACACTTAATTTTGACCAAAGTGCATGCTGAAACCGCAAATTGTTTCTTCGAGTTTAACAGTTTGGTTTATGGATTAAAATCTATATTTAATTTTATTTTTAAAAGTTCATTATTTATTTTTCCTATATTAATATATTATATATTTATTAATATATATCATATATTAACAAATTTGTTATTATTTTTCATGATCCTTTTAAAATTAAATAAGATTTCTTGGTCTATTTACATATTATATTATATTATATTATATTATATTATATTATATTATATTATATTATATTATATTATATTATATTATATTATATTATATTATATTATATTATATTATATTATATTATATTATATTATATTATATTATATTATATTATATTATATTTTATATTATGGCAAACTGATGTATGCACATTGTGAATTTCACAACCACCATCCATCGTGGAAATGATTTAAAATTAATTGTTGTAGATATTGGAATACATATATGTTGTTTTCCCTTAATATTTGTGGTTAAATAAATACGTATATTAAATTTTAAAAAATAATTAATTATTTTATTTTTATTTATTATTTATTAATTTTTTATTTAAAATTATTGATGAGGACTTTTTTAAGCAAAAAAAGTTGGAGCTAAAAATAGCTAGGTACCTATAGCTTTCTACTATCAAAAGAAATTTTAACCTTATAATTATTATAACTTTAAATGGTATTAAATAAATTAACTTAATAACGGCAATTAAACTTGAAAAATGGCCGATTAAAATTAGTAAATTTCATGAGCTCCTAATTTACAAGTATCTTAAGTCCTTACATTTAACTTCAATATTATTCAATGCACTAATAAGTGAGAAAGGAAAGTTTATGTTAATATTAAGTTTGCAACCAAGTTTTAGCCAAGTTTCCGCACTGACTTGTTAAGTACCTACTAATTACACAACAAGATTTTTCAGGTCAAGTCATAAAAAATAGGTAGGTATGCCTTAATTTTTGTTAAGTACCTACTAATTACCCAACAAGATTTTTCAGGTCAAGTCATAAAAAATAGGTAGGTTTGCCTTAATTTTTGTAAGACACAAAAAACTTTTGGTTAAAACTTTTTATTTGTTTTTTTTTAAATAATTTAGGTATTTTAAAGAAACAAAAAATAAATCAAATTTTTTATATCTTGTTCTGGATGAACGAATTTATCCGCGAGCTTTATAAAGCTCACAAAAAACTCACATAATTCAATTTAACAAAAAACATATTCTATTATCGAAAATTGGTTTAGATAGATAGGCATACATTTTTTACAAATATACAGAACAATTATTTAATTCAATATGACAATGGTCATAAACAATAATAATGTATTAATATAAATATTAAAAAAACTTAATAAATTTTACTTTATATTTTAGGCCCTTTAATTATATAATTATATTGTTTTTAAAATGGCAATATCAATGCAGAATGCATTGTAATAAAAACCTATTGTTCAAATAACTTTATTTTTGTTACAAAGGCAAATTTATATGTATATATCCTTTTCTTTTCATTGTTACCCGAAAAATTATTTTAAAATAAATGCCAAATATTAAACTTTCTTGTTCATATGCGGAAAATTTTAAAAACAAAAATATTTGCGTGCATTTTTTAACCGTAGGAATTTAATATAGGTATTTGCCATTGTTGGTTTTATTTTGTATAAGCATTATTGCCTGGCAATTTTAAGTGTACATATATTTAAATTGTATGCAATATGTGGATGAAATACGTTAATATTTAGTAAATGTAAATATGTATGTAACACTTACGCATAATGCTTCCAATTAAATTAATTATTACTTGTATTCCTACGCATTATGTTTACAATAAAATTTATATATAATATTTAATATTCATTTCATTAAGTAATGATTTTATGCTCCCAAGACTTAAATAATACACAGTAAAAACCTTTATGGTACATGTTTCCATGACACTAAGTAACCGTTTAAATACACATTGACAAGTAGTAAACTAGATTTAACTTAATTTCGGAGTGGAGTGCCCATAAAACATTTTCTTCAGTTTCACTGTAAAAAACTGTTGATAGTCCATTCTTACGGATACTCTATTTTAAATGTTAATTGCCAATCGCCTACAGCGATTCTTTGCTGGTAAATACTCACAACTTACTTCCGGGTTTAATTAATTTAAGCTTAACGTTGACGCCATCAAAGGTTTTAAATTTACACGGTAACCCCAAATATAGCATGTAGAATCTGGAAATGGTTAGGTTCTTAATTGATTTTACTTGTCGGAGAAAATTTAACACCTTCACGCAATACATAAAAATAAAACTATGGAAATCAAACTAAAGCGTTTGTGGGCAAGATCCACCTACGGAAATTAGAAACCATTTGTTTTATACAAGAAGAAAAATAAGAACATTTATCTGCGTTAAAATTAATCTTCTAAATTATATAAAGTAAAAACTGGATTACTCTTAATAATTTCATATTTATAAAGTTAGCACAAACATCATTGTAATATTTCTAAAATAGACAACATTGTAATGTTTTAATTTGTGTTTTATTTAATATATAAGTTTTTATAAAGACAGCTAAACTTGACTGAAAAATTATAAAGTTATAATAAAAAGGCCACTCTCTAAAAATGAATTAGTCAAAAATGACTAATTTAATAGTTATTAGTGGCTGCTTTTTCACTTGTACCATGGTGAACCATGGAATACCATGGTATTCCAAAATTTAACAGCCAATTCTTATGTAAAATTTTTCCCTGAATTTAGAGCCTAGCTAAATTTTTTTGATCTTGTTTTGTATGAAATAATATAAATATATTTATATTATTTCATAGAATAAAATTGTTAAATAATATAAGTGGTTAATAAAATATTGATATAAATGTCACAACAGGTATTAAACCCAACTAATATAAAATTTACTGACCATAAAAGTATAACGTCGAAAATATTGATGCCCTAAAACACAAAGCCTTGTAAATTAATGAACTAAATTTAATTAAATAAAAAAAAATCCAGACATACGCAATATAAAAGGTTTACATTATCAGGTGGACACATAAAAATATTTTTTGTAAAACACACTCCAAATTAACTTTTTATAAGAGGGATTATTTTCAGTAAATTAAGCAAATTTTGTGGCTGTATCTTAATAAAATGTAAATGCGACTTGAAAAAACGAATTTTAACGAGGACAGTTTAATATTATCCGTTATTTGTCCCTCGGCTTTACTGTGTCTATTTAGGTAATACGCTTATTTATTTAATATAAGTTAAGTATTAAAGCAGTATGCAAACGTTTCGCAAAAACCATATAAACCTTTTAAACTCTTATTTCGATGTGTGCGTGTTTGGCAACAAAAAAATAAACATCGAAATCAGGAGAGCACGAAGTCGCTGTTTACAACTATCGAGGGGTACCTAAATAACCTTTTTTGATTATTATGCTAGAAAGTGATCATTTTTGACGACTTTGAATCGCTGTATCTTCATTGCTGTTCATTTGATTTGTACAAAATTTTCAGGGTATACTAACAAAAATACGGTCTTTAACAGCATTTTTATTTACTTAAAAAACATTACCCTAAAAGTTATTATTCTAACGTTTTTTTCATTATTAAATAAAAGGGCTTTAAAAGTAATTTCTCGAAAAACACATAAACTTAGATATAAGTTGAAGTAGTTTTATCCAAAATTTCATAAAGAATAAAGGCGTTTTAGAGTTAGAGTGGTTGCAAAAATTATGGCCACTGTATCTGTAAACAAATGACCATAAAAAAATGTTTTTACAGAAAAAATCTCCCTTTAATTATGTTTTAATTGGACATTCTCCCAACTAAAAGAATTGCATTGGCTGTCCTAAGTAAACATGGCAGTGAGGTAATACAATAAAAAGATAGCGAAAGAATTATTCTTACAAACGTTATTTAAAAGCCTGCCAAATCGCATTTTCCGTTTTCGATGGCGAAAGTGTTTTCTAGCGATTCGATGGGATTGTCTCTTAATCGACTTACCTTTGAAAACAATCACGAGAAAAAAGCAAAAACAATTCGATAAAAGTTTCATCTTCTGAAATTGACGGCAAGTCGAGATGTGTTAATTCCCGATAATGGACGTTTTTGCTGGGTTTAACGGGCGCGTTGATTTTCGCGTGTGATAGAAGCGCTCTGGATTCTCGCGACCGCAGGCAGTTTTCATCAAGGGATGAAAGCACGGACTGTGGATGCTGAGGACCTAGGATCTCGACAACTCTTCTCCTACAAAGCCGACGCATGGCAACGAGTAAACAGGACGTTATAATGTTAGAAAAACATTTTTTTATAACAAAAAAACTTCTTCCTGTTAATTAAAAACATACCTATACAAAAACTAAAAAAGTTTTCATGTTATTACAGATGTGTCAATAATTACGAATGAATCCAACATCTATCTCTGGGTTACGTTCAATATTTTACAAGTACTAAATAGTTTAAAAATCAAAGTACTCTCTAAAAATGAAATAGTCAAAATTCACTTTTAAATAGTTATTTTTTACTATGTAAATAGTAATGTTAACAAATCTAACAGTGTATTATGTTTCATATTGTTGTGTAAAGAAAACAGCGTTTTGGGATGTCCGTCTATTAATAAAACTTGTCTTCCTATAATCACTTTGGAATCACCTCATTTTATATATGCACATTTTAATTTATAAAAGTTTCTTTGTAAAAGCATCTCTTAACAAAGTGGAACTATCCGCGTCCTGAGTTAACGTTTATTTTCAAGATTACCAACCAAGCTTAAAAATATAGCAACAGTAGTAATCCTACAAAAATTTCTGCTGAAAGCGCAAACAAATTATTTATAATGAGTTTTTTATGAACCACAACACAATTATTTATATTTTACAAAATCGTTACATTTATTTAACAACATTGCTCCATATTCTTAAGGTCTGACCCTTCTTTAACACTAAAGGAAAAATAAATCAGCCTATATTGAGATAAATTGAGAATTCTTAAAGTTTTCTTTCAGTTTCATTAAATTTGAAGACCCGCATTTATATTAATTAGGAGGCCGCTCTTTAAATAGTTGTGAAGAAATATTTTTAAATTCAATTAAGTTTAATTTTACACAAAATATATTTTTATTTTATTTTGCCAAAATTTAAGCATAAATAAATTTCTTATTTAATAAATTATATATTATTATCAAATTTGGTTGTATTTACTTAATATAATTCTGTGTTTTGAGTAAATTCCAAGTTAAATGGTATTTTTCAAACAGTATTTATAGACAGATATTGAAGTACCAGGCTGATTTTTATTGAAGTCCAAATATAAAAAAACTAAATACAGAATGTTTTTTCCACTATCAAATGTGTTGAAAATTTTAAGCTTTACATTTTTTTGTTTTAATAGTTTTTTAATCCGACCAAAAGGAAACAAGATAAAACCATTCAATTTTTTTTTAATGGAAAAAAGCGTAGTACTTCGAAATTTTTTTGATGTCAAAATACAGATTGACCGAACTAATAACCAAGACAACGATAATAGAAAATGACACCGTCACAAAAAAGAGGTTAATTACTATTTAAATTTTAAACATTTACATTCTAAATTATGTCATGACTTCTCCAATGTTTGGATAGACTTCTATAAGAGGGTTTTAACAATGGCTCAACAAGTCAGGAGGTAAAAGTCTTCTATTTTTTCAGCAAAATTTTATCAAAACAATTCTAGAGCACCATCTGTAATGGATAATGATTACGATCCTTGGGAAAACCGAGATATCGAACATCCAACCTCGTAAGTGCCATATCGATGTAATAAAATAAACTATTAAGACAAATATAATAATCTGATGAAAAAAAACCACATTTTAACAAATTGGTATTTACATGCGTTTGTAAAAGTGGTGTTTAACTTTAAAAAGCTTTTAGAAATTTTGGTGCTTTCACCCATTTGATAAAAGGCTGTCTGGGTGCAGGCATTCTGGCGATGCCCAAGGCATTCAGCCATTCAGGATGGGTTTTTGGAACAGTTGCTACTCTGGTCACAGGAATTTGCACCACCTACTGCATTAATATGTTAATATGGTCATTGGTCGCAGAAATGAAACGAAACAGATTACCTCTTATGACTTACAGTGAAGCCTGCGAGTCTGCGTTCAAGTAATGTGATATTTTTTTACAAAAGCAGCCATAGTAACAATTAACATCTACGAAAAATAAAATCTAGATCAAGAAGGTAATATTTTCTTGGAAATTGCATTTTTTTAGTTCTGGTCCCAAATATGCTAAGAAAACTTCAAGATGTGCGAAGCATTCTGCAGATGTGTTCTTATGCATTCAACTTTTGGGCATATGTGCTGTATATGTACTGTTTGCTGCCTCCAATGTGCAAGAAATATTGGAATACTATGGATACCACATCAACTTTAGATACTGCATAGTTGCAATATGGCCGGTGCTTATCCTAATGAGTTTAATCAAAACACTAAAATTTTTGGCTCCGATGTCTTTGGTTGCAAACATCCTTATAATCCTGGGAATGCTTATAATTTACTATAATTTCTTTGAAACAATGCATTCACTTGATGAAAGGTATGGTATGGCTTACTTAGCTCTGAGTACAAGACAATAGCATAGGGGAGATAGGGGCTTGTAGTAATGCTTGGAGTAAGTAGGGATATTTTTTTACTGGGAATCCGAACCCTATAAAGTGACGTCATCCAGACCATGAAGCCTAATAAGTGAATGCTCGAGCTTCATTTTGACCAGTTAATGTAATACCTATATTGATTTCGTCACAATTGTCATTTCGTGTTATTTTTAACTTTAAAAAAAAAATGGAAAAAAGTTTAAAAGTGAACTCTTTTACTCTATGAGTAATAAGTACTATCTTAATTAAATTATTAAATTAAATTATTCTCTTAAAATTGTTACTACAAGCTCGCCCCTTCTTGAGTAAAAGTACAAAACAAAATATAGACTATTTTAATGTTGATTTTTTATTTTCACGCCTTGTTGTTTCCTCTAGGCCTATGATTCAAAAAGATTGGATAAGAATACCGTTATTCTTCGGAATAGTGGTGTTTTCACTGGAAGGCATTGGGGTCGTAGTGAGCATTGAAAATGCCATGCAAAACTCAAGAGCACTTATACACGGCCCGTGCGTTCTTAATGTCGCCATGGCAATAGTGACCATAATGTACCTATTTACTGGGTTTTTTGGGTTTCTGCGATACGGCAACGAATCCGACGATAACGTTTCCAAAAATTTACCCTTTAACATGTAAGATTTTTGTTAAATTTTGATATAAATATTATTTAAATTTAATAGTGCAGGTATCATTGGTAAGTGTTCAATATGCCTGGGTATTTTTTTGAGCTACTGCATACAGTTTTACCCCCCTGTGGAAGTCATATGGAATATGGTCAAGGACAGAATACCAGAAAAAAGAGTTTGTCTTTACAATACGTTACTAAGGATAGCTTTAGTAAGTTCCACAGTTATTGCAGCTTTAAGCATTCCAAATTTAGGTATAATGATGTCTATGATGGGGTCTTTATGCTTATCTGTATTAGGTAAATTATTTTCCTGTACCTATTCAGGTTGTTACGAAGTTCAGGTTAAAATACTAGTAGCTGTATGCACAAATTATTTTACTCAATAATTACATTTTTAAACAAATATATATTTAGCCACTCTTTTACTTTTTGACGCAAAAACTATTTTAAGCTTTTTCAGGAATAACTTTTTTAAATCGTCATTATCCAATTATTAACGGGGCTGGATATTGAAAACTAAGCATTATGCAAAATGTATTCTTAAAATGGATATTGTACCCTGAATTTCGTAACACCCTTGTATTTTGTAATTTAAATAAATATTTTTTACTCTAGGATTTGTATTTCCCCCCTTGATGGAGCTTTTTTCTTTCTACCCGGAAAGAGGTTATGGAATTGGTGGATACAGGATTATAATAAACGGCTTTTTCATCACATTTGGCTTTTTTGCCATGTTTTCGGGACTATATTCAAATACCTTAGAAATATTAAATATATACCAAGAAGATATCGGATAAAAATAATAAATAGGTTGCCTACTCTTTACAAAAGGTCTTTTTATTTTAAGCATCTAAATGCAAAACCCGAAAAGTCATACAATTTTGAAAATAATTAAGTTGTAAAGGCGTCGTATATTCTGAAAATAATACAAATTAATATATTATAAATTTTTGTGTATTGTATATTGATTTTTAAGGACCCATTTTTTACTTAGTTTTGTATTTTTCAATAAAAAATTACTAAAATAGTATGTACCTATTCTATTTTTATTTATTTTGGTTAAATTTAAGAATATTTTTTATTGAAATCCGACATGTCACAGACGCAAAACCCGACATATCCAAAATTTGAATTTGTATTTAAAATTTTATTCTGATTTATAAAAAAAATATTAGAGTTTTGGGTACCTACCAATTTTAAAGGACATAAAGCACTAGAAGATAATATTATCTTTTGTAATCATGTTTTGTTATATTTTGGCTAATAATAAGTTATTAATTCGGTTTGTCTCGGTATTCCGGTTTCTGCAAAAATGCGATCAAAACAAATCTTGAACATAACCTCAATTAAACCAAGTTATCCTTTTAAGCGTATTTTGGTAATAAAAACTTAATAAACATACCCAGGTTATTTAAAACTTTGCAGCTTAAACTCACTGCCAAAAATTCCTTATAAACAAACAAATTCCGAAGATTTGCTACGCCACAAACAGCGCCATCTCTGTATGTTGTGCCAAAGCACGACTCTATTTATAAATAAAGTAATTTGATCACAATGCTCGCTAGTTTTGCCCACGTGTGTGACAGAAATTGACAAAATTTACGAAACCAAAGCATCAAAGTCGAATTAAGTGCCATGGGTCGTAAAGGGCAGCCGTTGAAATCTAGAAAACCGGCGAAAACAAAAAACCAACGAAACAAAGTGTCGAAGGAGGAAAAAGAAATACAGGAAAATGTAGATAAATTATTAAGAATCAGCACTATACCGCAGCAAGGTAACGTAGTGAACGCGCTTAAAAACCAAAAAGAAATCAGTGCCATTGTGGAACAAGTTAAAAAATTGGAAATAAATAAAGATTCGAAGAGCTCGGCCGATAACCGGGCAAGTGGCGCCACCATCGAGAATTTTACGAAGTGGGTGAAGGAGAATGGCGCGCAATTCAACGGGTGCACAATCACGGAATTTAAAGGCTACGACTTGGGAATTAAAGTCAACACCGATATACCGCAATCCACTTTAGTTTTAGCGATCCCCAGAAAAGTAATGCTAACAGTGGAAAGGGCTAGCGATAGTATACTTAAGAATCTAATTAAGAATGACCAAATTCTTAAGAATATGCCCAATGTAGCCCTGGCAATTTATTTATTGTTGGAAAAATTTACTGATAACTCGTTCTGGAAACCATATCTAGACATCCTACCAAAAAGTTATACCACTGTTCTTTATTTTACCATTGAAGAACTGGAGGAATTAAAAGGAAGCCCAACTTTGGAGATTGCCCTAAGGCAAATAAAAAGCATCGCAAGGCAATACGCCTATTTTCATAAGTTATTTTCCACATCTGACGATCCGGTATGCCAAATCATGCAAGAGAAATTTACTTACAACCAGTATTGGTAAGTTCTGAACTTGATTTCTTTTTAGAAACTTTAAGACTGCCCAAATCTATAAAATAAATACAATTTATAAAAAAAATTATAAAACCGATATTATTATCTTAATTCAATGATTATTTGTGTAATTATAATTAGAAAGGAAACACATATGCATAATTGTTGTGTTTTGAAGCAATTTAGAAATATTTATTGTACGGGACTCCGTGGCGCAACGGTAGCGCGTCTGACTCCAGATCAGAAGGTTGCGTGTTCAAATCACGTCGGGGTCAGTTGATTTTTTTGCTTTTATATTTTTATTTAGTAAAGAAAATTTTTAACCCAATACTTTTCCTACATCCGCCACTGTTTTTAACGTAAACACTCAACATAAAATATAATATTATTAAGCACAGCAGGCCCTACCCAGGATTTGCTTCTGAGGGGGGGTTATCAAATTAAAATATATATATATGTACAAAAAATAGGTAATTTAAATTGTCCAAAAACATTAAACTTTTAAAATGCTCTGTAAAATTGTTATTTAACCAAAGTTTATTAAAAATATATATATATATTTTAAACTGTACCTATTTGCAATAACTTCATTTTAATGTTGAAAATTTCAATTTGAAATGTAATGATTTTTTATAACATAACCCATTGATATTTCATTGAAATATTTTATTACAAGTAATACTTAAAAAAATTAACTACATTTTACCTACTTTCTTGCGTCTGGATTAAAGTAGTTCCTAGTATGGCATTTCCTAGCAACATTTTCTGTTTAATTACAAATGACAACCTTGAAACCTACTGTAACCAATTTTTATTGATCGATAAAACTCGAATATTTTAATGAAAAACTATACAAATTAAAAATAAAAACAACAATTTTACACTAAATATATTTTTAGGTGAACAAAATACTAGGGAATCTTTAAATATTAGGGCATCTCTTAAAAAGACTATTTTTATTTTTTATCTTATGGATATACTAAATTATTTCCACTCCCATCTTTAAAACGAATATTATCGTACATTTTTCCATGACACTAGTAAAACATTTTCTTTACTTTTACTGTGAAAAACTGCTTTTATATCTAATTAAACGGTCCATTTTTAAGAGATACATTTTGATTTACACATAAAAATTTGACATTTTCACCGGCACAGATTTCAAAGTTGGTTACTCTATTGTTTTATAGATGTCGCTCTATACAAATATTTAATTTAAATAATTTTTACATAATAATAAGTATTTGTTGTAAAAAAGTAAAGTATTTTTTTTTTCGTCAAGATTTTTTGAATTTTAGTAATCTACTTCAAGTAAAAATAAAAAAAACGCTATTTAGATTAAACAAAAAAATTCACATAAAAAAAAGATTTTAATATTAATAATAATATTTAAAAATTCTTATTGGAAAAATATTCTTTTGTTATAAACAAAAAAAGTGTATTAAATTGCTTAAATTCACTGATTTTTATAAAAGCGCCGTTGTTTATAATTCCACAAGTTTTGGATATTAATAAACCGTTGCCATAGCAACGTGGTATTATTTCCTCATAAAAGTTTAAGCCAACACTATTTGGGTTTGGGGTAAAATAAATAAAAAACTTAAAATATTTTAATAAAAAAATTTATCCAAAATAAAAAATCAATAACAATAGTGTTTTAAAGATCATAAACATAATAGAAAGGATTAGTCTTACTACATACAAACTAAATAAATATTGCACAAGGATCACATAAATAACAAAAAAATAAATAACATCAAGTCTTTTTAGAGAAGTCACTTGGTTGAAAATTTTAATACGAAAGTTTTCTATCATTCTCCCAAATTTGCTCGGACATACTTTGTATGTGACTTTTGTTGTAATTGTAATAATCGTTTTTCTGCCTACCTAAAGTCTCGTTCATAAACGATCTTATCGATCGCCTGGGAGCATTTTCTAGAATAGGCGATTTAATCCTGGACGTTAAGCTACTGCAGTAGTTGAGTCTTTGCTTGTGCTTTTGGGACCATTTAAATATAAGCAAAATGGTTACAAATACAAGCAATGAACCGCCAATTATGGCCAAGCTAGCTACAATAGCTGACTTGACACCGGAAGGAAGTGGGAAATAATCATCAGATTCGTCACTTTTTTGTTCAAAAGTATTTTGCTTTAATTCTACATCGAATCTGTCGTTTGACAGTGAAGATAATTTATTTTCTATTTCTTCCAATCGTTGGATGTCATCGTCGAAATATGATTCGGTGGTGGTTTTAATTTCGGGTTTTTTGTTATTAATATTTTGATTGATTTTTGGAAATAAACTGGAGTAGACGTCTGGCCACTGAAAGGCATCTTTGATTGTTTTATTTGAAGCTATTTTGTAGGTTGGAAAGCTTGTTACCAAATATTCGTCTTTCGGCTTTACTTCCACTTTTGGTGGCTTAAGAACCTCAATACTTTTTTGTTGCCTCCCCAGGAATTGCAACGGTGAATTTTCGTTAACATGGCCTACGAAAGCTTCTTCCAACGGTTCCGGTTCCCTGGTTTTATTATGGAATATGTCGGCCAAGTGCAGTTGACTTGAACCTCGCTCCCTTTGTTCTACGAGCTCTTCTAACGTCATATTTCTTGTTTCTAGGATTCTTGCTAGATTTTCTCTTGTATTTGGATCCCGAAGTATCTCCATTATTTCTTCTTTGGCCGTTACATATTTCAACTTTTCTGCTGGCGGTGTTGTTATAAATTGTTCTTCGGAACTAGATTCATCCTTCATTGTTACACCGAGATCTATTGCCATTCTAAAAGGTTCATCTTGTTTTTCTTCCTTAACCCCGAAAATTTCACTCAAGCTTATTTTATTTGGTTTTGGAGGTAATGTAGGATAACTATCGCTCTCTTTTGAGATGTTGCTTAATTTTGGAAAACCGAATCTAATCTTGTTTATTCTATCCAATTGTTTGAATAACTTAGGAGTTGTATCTGATATAGTAGTGGTAGTTGTGGTTGTTTCAACGTAAGGCTCAGTGTTAAACTCAAACTGCTTTAAATCAGGCTTGTAGTCCAAGGAAGTGTAGTATTTTGGATGGGATGGCACAAATATCCGTTTTTCTGTAGCCGGTTCTGTTACAACTTCATATTTGGTAACATCAGCATAAACGTGGTCCTCTTTAAAACCATTTAGCAACGCCAAACGTTTTCTTTGGGCTTCAAACGTTTCTCTACTGGTTAAGGCTTCAGCTGATTCTTGGGATTGTTCGTAGACTCTATTGGTGGTTTTTTTTAAGGCTACCGAAGGTGGTACGCGTTTAAAAGCTGCTGTTTGGCTTTCTGTAGGTGATATCGAAACTTGTGGCGGTTCAGTCAAAGCGGAAATAGCTTTTTGGTTACCGGTTAGGAGCTCTGATAACGACAAGTTCTTCTGTTGAAGAAGTTCGCTTAGACTCAACGTTCCGCTGCTTTGTTTTAGTAGGGTTTTTAGGTCTGGGGTTGAGTGTGTTTTTATTTCCACATCCAAAGGTTCTGGGAGGATTTCTGGCGGGTTTATAGGTTGTTCATAATCATTATTGACCTCTTCTTTGGCCTTACTCTCAATGACTTCGTTTTCTTGTTTCTGCGTGGTTTCGTCTTGGAATTGCAACGTTGCCGATAGAGGATTAAGTTGCTCTCCACTTATAATAATTTCTTCCGGTGGATGGTTGTATGTCGGAGCAACTCTTCTCCTTACATAAGGTCTTCTTATAATATCTTCCTCGGTATCTTTCCAGGATTCTCTTATTTGATCCAACCTCTGGGGCCTTATTCTTTTTCTTATTACAATGCGTTCATTTGAACCATCCTCTGACTCGGTAAGGCTTATCATGGGTGGCCTTCTTTTCCTTTTGCGTAGCCTTCTTTTTTTCGGCAATTGTTCGCCAGGTTCCTGCGAGGAATCGTGTGGTATCCATCCGGTGTTACCTTGGGAAGGAAAGTCATCTAACGCCCTCCAATTCTGTAACAACAAAAAAACGATATTACTTAAATTGCATAACTTAATCTAGATATCTAGATATTGCAAGGTTTCCTTCCAATGTTAACAACGCATGAACATTTTTAAATATTTTGCTCTGCAAATGTTACGTGTACGAGTCATAATTTTATTACTGTTATGGAAATTCGATAACTAGATAGTAGCAAATTGAGCTATTATTTGGTAATGTTAAAAAATGTGGAATACTTTCATTTATTTTTAATTTGGTTGTTTATTTATTGCCTAGAAACTTTTTAGAATAACTTTTTCTTTATTTGTATTTTATTTATAAATTAATAATTATAAAATATTTATATGTAAAGGACTTTTATATTTAAATTTGCGTTTTTATGGTTTATAAATTAACCTATTTTTGTTATAAATAAATATTTCTTGCCTTAAATTTTACAAGACAGTGTTAAAATATTGTGATTTGCTAACCAAATCATTATTGGGTGTCCAGCCAATTTTTTTAGTATTTTTCCGGGACCTCCTTAGTTATCACTTAAAACGTAATGAAGAACTTTTCTGCCAGTTGTATCTAAACCCTGTAGATATACATTTTATGTTGAGCCTTAAGTTTATGTCATAAACAAAATTTAATGTTTACAAAAACATGATTGGCAAGTTTGTTTTTTCAAATGCTCCATATTTTACTAATCCTATATTTACATAATTTAGCGATTTAATTCATGTTATGCACTTAATGTGCAATTTTTGCACCTTATTGTGAAACTGAAAGTAGTCCAATTCTTCTTTTATTACATTAATAAAATTATGTAACCCACAAAAAAAATCGATTATATTTATTTTATGCACTTTTGTTACATTTATTGTCTAAAATTGTGAAATAGACGTTTTGTAATTTGCATGACTTTATCGTAACCTGCACCATAGGTTGGTACTCATGTTAAAGTGAAATCAGGAAATAGATGCGCACTATACCAGTGGTTAATTGTTTTATTTGTCTAAGTGTGTTGCTTAAATTTTCCAAATCGATACAAAATGACCCAATGAAGCGTATGGTGTTTAGCTTAATGATTTGACGTGACTATAGTCTTCCTTATTTACCATATAAAAATCGCAGCAAGCTGTAATTTGATTGGGAAGTATTCGCGATTTTTTTATTTACAGGTAAAATTGTCACACACAACATCTAATTAAAAAATTTGTGTATTTTAATTTTTTTGATAGCCTTGGGTTGTCCCCAATTTAAAATGACTGCTATTCGATGAAACAATTATAATATCAACGCAAATTAATAATTTTGTTCATTAACGAAAAACGAAAAATAAAAATAGTTTACTCCTGATAGTATTTTATGATTTCTTGTTTTAAAATAGATCTTTCAAAACAAGCAAAACTTTTTATGAGGAATGACTTTTGGTCAAAAATGAAAATTTTAGTCTATATATTCTCTTGGGCTCTCTATCCTTGGACACACTGTATATAAAAAAACAAAAATAAAAATAGGACATAAACTTATTATTCAATCTTTTTATCTTGTGTTTATAAATGAACAGTTAAGATATAAATAGCCACTTTATTATAAATAAATACATAAATATGTTATTGACAATTTTAAGCAACAAAAATATTTCCATTCAAGCAATTTAAACATTAAAACATTTCATTTTGCACGTAGCATCTTTAAGTTTCTGATATGGTTTTTAGAAAATACATACAAAGTCGATAGAAAGCGTTATATACTTTTTAGGAGCCGTATGACCTTATAACAACAATTTTAATTTCTTCGACTTGAAGCAAATATGAAAAAACAAATTCAGAAAAAACCACAATTGTATTTTAATAATAAAATTGTTTGTTCCTGTTTAAGTAAGACATTTCTTATTTTGTAAGGATTCCCAATTAAAAGCAAAGAAATTATTGTTACGTTTAATTTATTGTTTTAAAAACCATGTTTGTCTTCCAATTAATGTCTAAATATAATTTAATTTCTATACTACTTACACATTTACGTAATGATGTTATTAAACAATGTTTCATGAATTGTTTTGTAATAACGAATAAATGTTGCAGGAATGTGTATACATATAGCATATCCAGGTAGGCGATACGATTAGCATTTGTTTTATTTATGTATTTCAGAAAATAGGTTTTCATAAATAATATAAAATGGGTGGGTTTTTAACAATGATGAATACTACCTTATTTACTAATACCAAAAGTAAATACATGTCCATAATTAATAATTTACACAAATCTACAAAATTAAAAATATTTTTTTCAGGGTTGTTATTTTTTTGATTTTTTATTCAAAGTGCTTAATGTACTTTTCGCCTTGTGTTTTATGTTTAATATAATTAACAATAAATATAATTTGTAAATGTAGTCTTATTATTGAAGGAAAACAAAAAATAATCAATTTTAAAAGTTATAACAAATCCAATTATTCTTAGATTGTTATTTTAAATGAATCGCAATAGTTTTTCTAGAACTCATTATTATTTTATTATTGTTGTTTAATTAATGTAAATCTTAAAAGTAAAATCTGAATTCCATTTAAAAATTGTATAATTAAGTACATTTGGTCTTTAAAATGACTAATTTAATTTAAATAATCAAGGTAAATATGTTTTATCTTTTTATTTTTATAATCATTAAGCTTGTTTAATGATCTTTATCGTAGGTATACGTTTCCTATACAAAGATTTACTATCAACGCATAAAAATCTTATGCGTGTCAATTCATCGTTTTTTTTATAAATATATTCAACAATTTAACACGGGGATTATAAAATCTCACTTTTATTTAGAATCGTGTACAACGAACATGGAATTAGAAAACCATTTTCTTCATAATAATGAAGAGAATTCAAACATGATATGTCTATTACGAATGAGTGAAAGTAGTTAAAAGAAACAAGAATCTATGTCAAAAATTGAATTATTGATTGTGCCAATCGTTGAATTAATTTAATTTAACGAGAATGAGAGAAATAAAGGCATATATGGATATGTATGTGGATATGTTGTATTGTTATGTTGTAAAAATAAAATATAATGGATAGTCATTATAATTAACAGAATAACGTTAAAAGAAGAACAAAATAACAATATATTATAATTATAATAATAATAATAATAATTTGGTATACCTAATGTGTTATAGTATACAGGAAATTCACAAAAAATCCAAAATATTTAGATCCGGATATTTTCCGGTTATGCTATTACCATTTTTTAATTATCTTCAAAATTAGAGAATATGGCAGGTTTTTTAAATATTATTTAAATTTCCTTCACATGGGTTAGGTAGGTAGGTAATTAAGTTAATTAATTTAAAAAAAAAATATTTTTTTCAGTTAAACATGATTATTTTAAATAAAAATAATAATAAGAAATAATTTATTTCATGTCTTGCGGATGATATATAAATTGCAAAAATAAAGGCTAATTAACAATGAAGGTTTCACAACAAAAATAATATAGAAATAAGATTTGCAATCGCAGATTATTTATTGTACCGAGATTTACTCTATAAATCCAAGGAAAAATAAATTAGTCAATCTCGTTAAAAAAACAATGCTTGAGAATGAGATTTAAGACGTACTTAATTCTTCCTCATTGATAATCTTAATCATGGCATTTGAATTATTGTAGACGTAACCAGTGGCGTACGTGTGTTAAAATAGGGTTTGTAACTCGAAAACCACCCGGTGCACAGTGGGCTGGAAAGCCGATTTAACGCGCAGAAATTATTTGTTCAAGTATCTTTGTGTCACAGCAAAATTAAGATCTATAGTTTTAATGAGAAATTTATAAATTACAACAATATACTGAACATTTATAAAATAAAAATTAATGATTATGGTTAATTTTAACAAAAAATACATAAAAAATAAGTGACCACTGATAATTTTATCAATAAAGAAAAATATTAATACTGTGTTTCGGTTTTTCAAATCAAGTTTGATATCTATAATATCTATAATATATTATAATAATCTATAATATATTATAATAATAAATAATAATAATATATTATAATAATAAATACTTTTAAATTTCGCGATTTAAAACGCTGGTGGGGAAAATTATTAATATTTACTAATAGTTATTAGTAATTAATTCAAAATTCATTGTTATCAGTAACTTTTTTATTGATGGTTTCCATCACCAACGTATGACAAAAAAATAAACAAAAAAAATTGATGGGGCCTACTAGCACTAGAACAATAATGATAGAAACGTACCATTATTTGTTCCAGTTATATTGTATGACAGTTTTTAATTCAATAATAGTCAAAACGTAAGAATAAATTAGTATACTTGCTCTGTGTTGCTCTAGCCTACTGTGTGGGTATAACTACCTGTTGATTATTAAATTTTACAATTGTCGAAGAAAGATTAACCCACCTACTGTATTTGTAATACATATTTATCCCAATTTACACTAATCCTGCAGTAAATAGTGTGGCTACTACAATGCATATTTGCTAATGCATTTTTAATTGCTTTTAACAGGGTTGTATGTTTACCGTTTCCCTTAGGGATTTTGTAAATAAGACCTAATATTTCCAAGAAGCACCAATTGTTGCCAAGGTGTTAAATATACCTTTAGTATAGTTATTTATGTCATAAGGCTTAAGCCACAATTTTACTTGTTAAACGATGTACGAGGTGTGTTCAGAAAATATCGGGAATTTTCGTTTTTTGAAACAAATATTTATTTATTCGTCTACATTTATGTTGTCGGCTTCAAAATAGTCCCCATTGGATATTATGCACATGTGCCAGCTCTTCTTCCAATACTCGAAACACTTCTAAAACTCGATCTTTGGGATAGCCTTTAGTTCTTTCAGCGATGCGCTTTTAATGTCTTCTATGCTTGCAAAACGACGGCCCTTTAAGGTTCTCTTTATTTTTTGGAATAGGAAAAAGTCAGACAGAGGCATGTCTGGCGAATATGGAGGCTGGGGCATCATTACAGTATTGTTTTTGGCCAAAAATTTTGTTCAAAATTTAACAATTTTAGAACAAATTTTGCTGCAACGCGTTTCATACCCAAAACATTCGAAAAAATTTCAAGGGATGAGCCAATCGATATACCAACATCATCAGCGACTTCTCTGATGGTTTATAACCATTTCTTTCACTTTTTCTATTTTTTTATCGGTTGTTAATGTGCTTGTGCGTTCGGGGCGTTCGTCATCTTCAACGTCTTCACGGACATCTTATGCCACTTGTAAACTTTTGTTTTACTTATAGCAGACTCAGTATAGGCCTTTGTTAACATTTCACAGAATTTTTCATTTTTTAAGCAAAATTGGATACAAATTCTTTGATCCATTTCTTTTAACGAACGAAAAATCGCCGAGCTCATAAAACACGTCTAACCTTAGCGGCTGACACAGACAAAGTAAACAATGAAAACGGCTAAAGTTTTTATCATACTTCGGGGGCATGTATACCAACATAATAAAGAAAATTTTATGACAACCGGACCCTCCGAACCCGCGAAATTTTACAATTCCCGTTATTTTCTGAACACACCTCGTATACACTTAATTAAATATAAGTTTTACCTCCTAGTCATTAGTTAATTCCCCTTAATTGCAATTTGTCAAATTTACCTAATAGATATTTCATTGGTAAGTAAAAGTGTGCCTCTTTGCCTTTAATATTTTCTGGAAACCCAGGAAATGTCATGGAATTTATTTTGTCAGGAAATTGTTACCAATTTAATTGAATACATAAAATTTATTGTCGTTGGTCTATTTATAATGTACATTCTAAAAATTATTTAATTTTAAACTTCAACTGCATTTTTCAGATACAAAAAATTAATTTAATAGTTTTTGAAACTAGACATTTCAAGTAATACCAGTAGAAACCTTGGTTAAGTAGAATATGCAGTCGGAATTCAGATTAAATCCAAAGAAGGAAATAAAACCAATTATACGTTGAATTATAAATTTACGAACACCACAATTTTTAAATTTTTTAAATTTATTTAATGTTGCTTAGATCCTATTAAGTAAGGTGACCAACTCTCCTAAAAGAAAAACCAGAACTCTAATAAAAAATCTGTATTATTTATAAAATGTTTACATGTATTTCTATTAACATAATATTATTACAAATTAAGATTTTTTAAAGTTATATTTTTCTTGGGAGTGAATTTGTTTTATTAGAACTTAATTTTTTTAAAGCATGTTTGATCGAAATTAGTTTTAACAATTAATAATGATTTTAGTGTTTCAATACGCAATTGTGATTTGTCTTTTGTCCAAAATGGGTAACTCTTTTGCATTTCTGCATTAAAGATGCATTTTCCTCTTTACAGAGGCATATCATTTAGAGTTTGAAATATAAAAAAACAATGGATATTACAATATTTAACCACAATAAAACGCGCATAACGCAGAACTATTAGTTCGTTTGGGGAGAGCCAAGTGCGAACGCCAATATTTAGTGGGGCTTGGGCGAAAGATCTGGCAAAGTGGAAAGTATAATTTTATGTTTATGGCTTAATTAGTATTGTAGGTATAAAAACAGAAAAAAACAGAGCAGCTTTTGAAAAACAGAACTTTTACTTTACTTAATTTACAACCAGAACATGGTTCTCAAAAACAGTATAGTTCTGGTTAAATCAGAACGGTTGGTCACCTTATATTAAGCAATTTTTGTTTTTAACACTTACATCATTGTTGTTGTATTCCCTCATTTCTCGTGGGTTATCCTCGACGGGTTCGGTAGTTTCGGAGTCATCCTGAGCACAACAGGTCAAACAAAGAACAGTTAAAAAAGCACCCACCAAAAACACCTTCATCGTAATCAAATTAACACCAACGAAACGAAAGCACCGGCAAAAAGCCGCAAAAATCAACACCGTCTGACGCTCTCAACTGATTGTGGCGCGCGGCTCGATGGACAGTGGACATGTGCCGCCTCTTCTGTGGACCTTTCACGCTGTGTGGCGGGAGTAGACCGATAGACAGAGCCTTATCTGTACGATATCAATGGGATTTGTGGGGAGAAAGCTTTCTCTATACTATAGTTAATGATACTGATCAACTCAATACTTCAGATTGCCTTATTTAACTTTTAAGATCAACACCCAGAATCTAATATTTAACCGTTTGTTTTTTTTTTAAGTTTTTAGACAACGTGACTGATTAGCTTGTTTGATTTTGGATGTATATAGTTTCTTTTAATTTATATTTTTTGGAGTCTTAAAAATGATTGCAAAGGCTGGCAGATTAAATTCCATCGATTTTATATGAATATAAAATATTGCAACAATCTTAAATATTCATTATTTTTTATGTTATTGGGCCTCGGGGCTGTTGGTTACAAATAAAGAAATAAATATGTACTATATACTATAAAAACTACACAATATATTTACTCAAAAATGCTTTTCATGGTGTGCCAAATCAAGGAACTTCCATTTTTAGTAATATCAACTGTACACGGCTATATATAAACATATATACATATATATATATATAAACATATATACATATATACATATGTACATATGTACATATATACATATGTACATATATTCAGTGTATGTACAAAAAAAATAAAATTTTAGTTTATTTATTGATAAAGCAGATGATTATATCTCGTTTGCCTTGTTTCTACGTGTCAAACAGGAAAATAACTTTTGTTTCATGTTTTGTCTTAAAAAACTTGTTTAATTATACTGATTTGTTTATCATTTTTAACAATCTTTGCTTGATTGGACAGTGGAAAAAAGGATACCAAAATTAATAAAACTAAAGAAAAGTTAAACTAAAGATTTTTGACACTGTTGAAACTTTTGACTTAAAGTCAACACCTAAAATTAAAATATAAAATTATAAACCGCTTGAAGATAATGGTAGATTATTATACGAAGAATAATGCGCATAATCTTGAGTTTACTATACTTTATCTACTTAGTAGATAATTAAATAATTTTTAGAAATAAATAAATAAAATCTGACATCTGACGAATGGTTAACCTCACCTTTAAACTACTGACAGCTCTAAAGCTATCTAACCTCACAAAAATTGTTAGTATGTTTTATGTATTGGTTAACAAATAAAACTATGCCTTAAATGCCATTTTACTGAGACGGGTTTTTTTGTACTTCGCCAACTTTGTTCAGTACAAAAATACTCACTTTTCAGCCTTATGACATAAAAAACTATTATTTATTTAACTATTAGGGATGATATAAATATAATTTAAATCTATTTATAAAAACCACACGTAATTAGATAAACTTAGCTTTCTTTGATTTTTTGATTGAAAAAAAACAAATTAATATCAATTTAAGAAAAAGCGTATTAACAACCAATTAAAATTTAACTTGTTAAACTAATTTAGCGAATATCCAGTCCAAGTTTCTTTCATTATTTTGTATTTTTAAAACTGAAAGTCATGCTTTTATTAATTACGAGTTTTATTTAATGCAATCTTTTTTTCAAGCCCATGTATTACTTCTTTTTATAATTAAAAGGTACCTATTTAAAGTAATTTAAATTAAAATTTTACAGTTTGAATGGCTACAGTTTTTTGTTTGATTTTAATATTATATTATCTTAGATCATCTGTATAAATTCAAATAAAACATAGTGTTTACTAATATATATAAATAATAGTTTTTTATAAACGCCATTTTAGCTACGATTATTTATAAAAGAGAAATTGACTCATCTAATTAGATAGACTGGTATCTCATTGAAAACTAATTTGTAAATAGTATTGCTTTCTTTATTTTTTCACATAATTAATTTAAAGTAATGCCAGCATAACTAAATGAATTCGTTTCTTACCTTGTTAAAATCATTTTAATTATAACAATTTATTTATGTGTGAACTAGCAATAACTAAAATAATAAAAATTGTTAAGACAATATTAATTATTGTAATTAAATATTTTATCAAATTAATTAACGTTCTGTGTGGCTAAATTAAGTACTTACATAGTGTTGGACATTTCTTTGTACCTCTCTATTTATAAGGTAAAAAGGTCAATTAATGTACAGTGCTCACGTTAAAAGTCCCTCCCCCCACATTGTCAATGTTATTAAGTACTACTTTTTCTTAAATTGATAGGTACATATTTAAGGACTGCTTGTGATACCTCATTTGACTTTGATTCTCTATTCGATGCTATTCGTTTAATCTTGCATCTAAACTTTAGATTTTATAGGCTTTTTATCCACCGTTACGCGAAGTCATAAATTCAAATTTTCAGAATGTCCACCTAATTGTAGTTTTAATTGCTTCCTTGTGAAAAAACGTGATTATTGATAAATTTTATGCTTTCTTCTATTTGGTATAATTTTTTTGAATTATTCATTATAAATTACATAAAGATTAGTTGACGTTTATTGTCCGAACAACAAAAACAAATAATTGCATAAACAAGGAAAGCTTGAATACCAACTTAATTAATATAAATACTTTCTGTTTTGAATACACATTTATTTCATCTTTGATAATAACTAAATAAATTGGTTCTTGCTAATAACATTTTTATTTTTTTTTATATAATATTGATAGTTCATTCCGGGAGAAAGTATTGCTTCTTTATAATTAATTTGTTAATTTAAGACCTAATTTGTATTATTTTTAACAGAAAGTTAATAATCCGGAAAAAACATCAAATCGGCGATTACCAACGACCTATAGCATTTTACAGCGTAATGCGCGTATTTACCGTACCGAAATTTGCAGCAAAAACGTTCTTTTTCTCCGATGTGCATCTCCATTCAAGGCACACCGCGATCTTCACAAATATAATAAAAATCAAGCGACATGCGACCGAAACCAAGGTCATACGTGGCCTACTGCTTGCGGCTATTTTAACGTATCGATAAAATAAAATACCGACTTTCTCCCATTTCCAATTCAAAGAAGACAAATAGTTGGTATTTATATGTTGCAAATGAAATTAATTTTGTTATTGAATTTGCAAATTTCGGTTTTAGCAGCGCAAGTTTTATTAATCCCGGCGCATTCGCCATTTTTTGTTGTATTTGCGAGTTTTAGAATGATTATTATATATTATATTATACAATTTAATTCAATATCTATAACTTTAAATTTATAAAAATGTTTGTTTTTAACATTTAAAAATGATTTTCCATGTGCATATATAGGTGTTAAATTACCATAAAAGAAACCTAAAAGCAAACCGTAAGTATCTAATATTCTCGAAGAACACATGTCTATGTGCTTTATTTGATTTCTATAAGTGCTCAGCTTGCTACAACATCACCCGAACGAATTATGTAAAAGAACGGAAATCATTTGAAAGCGAAAATAGTAATAGTAAATTAAAAAGCATACATCTCGTTAAATATCTAACGATTAAAAACGCATTATTACGTTTTATCATCCGATTTGTTCATTTTAAGACTAAAGGATTATTCTGGTAAAATTTTGTTATCCAGGGTGTCCAGAAAATGGCGCACCAACGGTATACCTCTGTAGGGGGGGCGTTTAAATTGGAATTTGTCAGGATATTACGTGAGGAAGGTAGGAAGGAAGGAAGGCAATCTATAAATCAGGCTTAATGTGTACTATATAGAATTAAGAAAAACAAAAAATTTAAAAATTTAATTTTTGGACCCTAATTAAATACATATTGTTTAGGTATTGCAAAGCTGGTAACCTAGTCACCATTATGCGTGGCTAGGTAAAGACAATACAATGTAATAAAATAGAAAGACGAACAAATTCTGAATTTTAAATCTGAAGAGGATATCAAAAGAAAGTGGAAAAGAAACAAAATAGGAAAAACCTACAAACAAGTTTTTATTCAACTCTAAATGTCAAAAATGATTAAAATAGCAAGCAACCCCTATTTAAGGATTTTCAAGGGTCAGGTGGTATTATTGGCCTACTTGATGATATTATAAAATAGTTAAGCTAATTAACAAATTGCCTGTAAAAGTTAATCCAGTGAAAAGTATTTTCTTATTTTGCGTGCTCTGTAAGGTTAACTAAACACGATGGGAGTAAGTTGTGACAGGTTCCCATACCATAGCGCTTTCTTACGAAAAACACGAACATTGCCCATTGAAAACAATTTATTAAACCGTTTTACTTTCGCTTAACAGAGCAATTAAAATTCATTTTTAATTTGGGATCTGCAAACAATAAAATAATTAAAGTGTGATTAATAGATAATGTTGCGTTTGTTGGACAATTTAGTTATTTACCAAATTCGGTTAAAGAAAGTGCTTAAAAGTAAAAGGAAAAATGGTATTTGAATAAATTTACATATAAAAGTCCGATAAACGTTTCAATCGTTTTTAATGAATAAACGATTTTATCTAAAATCATACTTTATAAACTTACAAATTTTAGTACGAAATTCTGTAAGGCAATATGAATTAAAAATCGAAAACTCCACTTAACCCATTTTACTTCCACATGTTATTTTTAAATTAAAAACAAATAAAAATTTATGAAATTTCTCCTCTGCCGTTAAAATAAAATAATACAATAACGACATGTGTCCAGGTATGTCTTTGGATTCTCGATATTTTATTGCAGAACACGCCTATAAAGATAATTTAACGACTGTTTTTTTAATTGTATAGTCTTAATTTTTTGAAGAAAAGTTTATTAAACTTTTTGTTGAATTTATAGAAGAAAGAAACTTGTATGGCGTTTTTGATATTTAAATTTATAAGTAATAATACCTATTTAATTATTTTTATACACTGCCCGTCAAAATTAACGCATACTAAGTAAAAAAATTCGAACTCTAAAACGCCTTTACCAATCTTTATTTGTGGTAGAAAAGGTTGTATATTTATAATATTCTCTTCCAAAGTAAATATGTAAATTTAACTTTTTTTTTTATTCAGCTGGGCTGTTTCCACAGTAATGACCCGTCAGAATACCATACCAGCGGTAAACAGTGACCAAATGATCAACGCACTGATACCTTTGTGGGATTTATGCAATCACACCAACGGAACGGTAAGACTTTTGCAAAAAAGGTTTCATAACATTAACCGCACAAACTTTAAAAAACATGTGAAGTCAAATGTATTTTTTAGATTTCTACTGACTTCAACCCTCAACTAGACCAATGCGAATGCTTGGCACTAAGGGACTTTAAAAAGAACGAACAGTTGTTCATATTTTATGGTGCGAGAAGCAATGCTGACCTATTTATTCATAATGGGTACATTATCATATTATTAAAATTATTCAAAATTAATAAATACTTCTTTAGGTTTGTCTTTGATGATAATGAACATGACGGCTATTGGATTAAGTTGGGAATAGGAAGAACCGACCCGTTACAAGAAAAACGCTTGGAGGTACTTAGGAAACTGTCCATTAATGGATCAGCGGATTTTGTTATCAAAAAAGGGGCCCGTCCAGTCGATGGCAAGCTTTTGGCCTTCCTTAGAGTTTTCAACATGAATCAAGGTAACAAAAACTTACCCCTATTAACAGTTAAAATTCTGTCATAGCATTTTGTTCTTTAGTGAGTATTGTGATTTGTATCTTGTGTTTGGAGAATGCTTAGAAAATTGAAGAGTTCTTCAGCCTGTGTGTGTGACAGTGTAATGTTAATATTTAATATTAACCATAAAGAATTGTTTACTTGTGAAAAAAATTTAAACGAAAAATTTATCGAAATAGTAAATGATATATTTTTTATATTTTAGAGCAACTGGATCATTGGTTGGAAAGCGACAAAACCGCAGACCTAGAGTACATAGAATGTGCCTTAGATACGGTCCTGGAGAAAAAATCGTGGACCTACTTGCAGGATCGTCTTAAGTTACTTATGGCCTCCTACAAGACCACATTGGAAGAGGATTTAAAATTAATTAAAACCGACATAACGGACAATCGAAAACTTGCAGTTAAAATGAGAATTTCAGAAAAAATAATTTTGAAGGAAACTGTTGAGTATATTGAGCAATATATCACGCAATAGGATTTTTTTTATTTTTTAGTTAATTTACTTGTTTTTTACTTAGATTAAAGAGTGAGGAGTTAACTCTTTAATTTAAGGTTTATTTTTATTATTTATATACTTAACTTATTTTGACATTCATTAAATATTTTACATGACACTGCAACGTTTAATAAATGTTTAAATGTTACCATTTCGTGCCAATAAGCAATACAATACCATAACCTAATATTCACTGTTAAATAATTTTATTGCGTTGTTTTTACGCGGCCATATTTTTGTTTTACTTTATTTATTTCAGCCATCAAAGTTATTTATTGTACTTAACAATACTATTAAATTTAACAATAAAGAATATCTAAAAAGTTTTTGTTTATTTTTAAAGTATTTTAAACAAAATACCGGGTGCACCAATTATCCTTCTTGAATTTTGATCAAAGTAAGTAACATTTATCCACATTTTTATCCAATTTGTGATTTTTTAGCCTACTACATTACTAAATATTATTTTATCAAATAAAGGAATTTGTATACTAAAAATAATACAAAATCTATTTTTATACAATCTTTAAAATACAAAGTTACATTGTCTTTACCTCTAAAAACAGATCTCTAAAATAGCTAGAGTCTACTTTTGCCTGCAACCACTAGGTGTCGCTTTTAAATTAAACTTGAAAATACATATCTTGATTGAAATTTTAACCGAATTTCGCGCTGTTAGTTTACCTATTAGGTGAAACAGCGGAGGTAAATAAAAAAGTTGGTTTTCAAATTTTCTATTAACTTGAGAATATTTTTTGCCAACAAAGTGGTCAACATGGCTTTAAATCAAGAGATGTGTGATATTTACAGATTAAATAATTTACATAAAAATGAGTTTAATTTAAAGTTTGTTGTTATTGGTGATTTTGGAGTTGGTAAGAAAATAAAAACGATTTTGATAATTTTTATAAAATTTAATAACAATTTTTCATGTGTTAAATTTATAAAGTTTGTTGATTATGATGTAATGTTTGTTTTTTTAATAAAAGTTAAACGTGTTTTATCTAATTAGATTTGTACTCTCAATATTGTTTTAGGTAAAACTTCAATAATAAACAGATATGTGGATGGTAAGTTTAAATTAAATAAATTTCTAATAAATCATTAATTATTTAGGTATGCATGTAATTGCATTAATATCAATGTCGCTGAAAAGTTTATAAGTATTAGCGCATTCCTGAAAAATCGATTTTCAGTAAATACCAAGAATTCCTTAACAATCAATAAAAAGACTCATTCATTCTTGAATTCCGGGAATCCCTTTTACTCAAGTTTAATAGCTTACAATTGTTACATAATTTAAATACACCGACAAGGTTTTTTTTCAGGCGAATTTTCACAAAAATACTGCATCACCATTGGTGCTGATTTCAGCTTAAAAACAATTGAGTGGGATGATGACACAAGAATTTTTTTGCAACTGTGGGATATTGCAGGACACGAAAAATTTAGCAGTTTGACTGGAGTTTTTTACAGACACTCGTGAGTTTTAAAAGAAAACAGAATTTTGAAGAATAAGTCTTATAAAAAAACATTATATTATAATATACATATACATATATAATAAAAAATAGAAATAAAAGTTTTTATTAATAAATTTTTTAGAGTTGGTGCAGCAATAGTTTTTGATTTAACAAGACCGGAAACTTTTAATTCAGTACCCCAGGTATTTAATAAAATTTTTAGTAGAATTATAAATTTTTATATTTATTTTTCAATTATAGTGGTTGAATGATTTGAGAAGAAAAACCCAACTGCCAGATGGAAAAAACATTCCTGTGGTAATTTTAGCAAATAAAGGTGACATGACTGTGGACACAATGCCACAAGAAATTACAGATTTTTGTGAAAATAATAATATACTAGCTTGGTATATAACATCTGCCAAAAGTAATATACAAATAGGTAAGTTTTTCATATTTTTTTAAATTATGTTTTAATATAAACTTTTAAGATGAAGCCATGATACGATTAATAATGGAATCATTAAACCCAATAGAAATTGAATACACCAAGGTTGACAACAATATCATAAAATTAAATGAAACAAAAAAAACTTCAAAACCATTTTGGAAGTGTTTTAACACATGAATCTTTAGGAAAAGTATAAGAAATTTTACCAAATTTTTATTATATTTACAAATAACAAATATACTATGAAAATACTCAACTATAATTATTATCCAGGAGACATTTTTTGGGCAGCCATAACACTTTCGTTAGCCATAATCTGGAATTCCTGGAATCGCTGAGATATTCTCTGGGTTACTTTTAGGAACTTTTCTAGGCAATTTTGTGCACATTTATCCTTAAATATAAATACATTTACTGAGCAAGAAAAATAGCATATAATACTTTTTCAAAGATTTTAGTATTTGTGTAGCTAATTTTTTACAGTACCTACTAAATTCTAAATCTTTTCCAATTAAAGTATAAAAGAGAACCAAAACAATGGTTTTTAGTAACAGTAGAAAGAATCGAAGATATGATATTTTTGTTGCTTGGTTAATTAAAAAACGATTTGACTTACTTCTTTTCCTTTTACATTCCTTGAGGTAAAATCTGACACGCAATCAGTAAAACACAACTCCGTTAATTTATTATAAGAAATTAAAAAATCTTTGAACTAAAAAATAAATTTTAGGTTAGATTTATGGGAACGCATTTTTTTTAATTACTTGCGGTTTTGATTTGATCCCCATCAATATTGTCAATGCCTGCTCCAGGCGGTAGTGGTACACTCATTTTTTATTCTATTAATTTTGTACTTTTTCAGAAATATTTACCACATGCCTCTATTGATTTTGACAGAAAAAAAATCTGCTATTTTGGTTGTCGTCTCGACTCATTAAAAGTTTTGACTATAGTGGATTTCTGTAAATAGATGTTTATAGTTGCGATAGATGGCGATAGTAGTATTAAAGTAAACGTGACAGATGTTTACAAACATTTCCCTCACAAAATTTTCGGTTTTGTTTCGTGAAATGTGACGTTTTTATGCCGTAAATCATTCGACTCGCGTTAAAATCTTAGTGTTTGTGTACTCCATTTCATAATCCCTTTTGTGTTATCGTGTTTATATGTAAAATACTCTAATATAACCTAAAAACGCTTTGTTTACGTTATGACCAGAAGAAGTAAAGTTTCCAAAACGTCTATGTTAATCTGCCAGGACGTAAAATGCGATACAAAAGTTGTTAAACACTTTGATACGAAGAATAATCGTAGGAGTAGTAATAGGTATGAATTTCCAAATTTTCCTGAAATTAAAGTTTTTGTTGATAATGTTCAAAAGGAGTTGGTAAATGCTGAGAATAACTATTATAAACAGTACTTAAAAAGGACTTATGATAGACAGGTGTTACAAAGGAAAAATGTAATACCAAAAACCTTTTCCATACCAAAGACAACAAAAGTAATTTCACCTAAACCTAAATTACCCCTTGCGCGATCTTTACCAAGTAATAGGAAATGCGTACCAAAATATTCACCCAAAAAAGATCAATTAAAATGTGGTTTAGAAAGTAGTACAACTACCACCACAAATGAATCAGCCCATATGATAACTAACTCAAACATAAGTCCTGAAACTATTATAAGCAAATATTACGCAAATAAGTTAAAAGATGAAATAGAAAATTTTAAAAACACCAACATATGTGATAAAGAAACAGCAATAACATTGAAAATCAAAAAGATCCATCATGAGGATAACAGCATGGGTATGCTAAAAACGATTAAAAAAGAGGTGGATAGATACTCGGACAATATACTCGCGTTAAAGGAAGAAATATCGAAAATAAAAGATAAATCCAAAGTGGAAAATGTTGATCTGGTAAATGACATTAAAATAGAAATAGACGAATTCAGAAACGCACCTTTGGTTCAGACTAAAGCAATCCTGAGCAGGAGTCCATGTGTTGGAGATTGGCACTGTGGAAATGGTGAATTATTTTCGTATATAGCAGTAATAAAAAGCGAAGATGCATGTCCAGGTGCAAAAGAAAGCGATGAAAAACTACAAAAGGTAGACAAAAATGAAGATACGGAAAAAGATAATGAAATAGTTTTAGTATTATCTAATGTGGCTGTGGAAACTGAATTGCAGAGCTATTCAAATGAAGTACTTACTAACTGTAAGAATCTATTTTTTTTACTTATGATTTTATGATAAAATAATATTAATTAAATCAATTTTATAGCGAATGACACAAGGACTGTTGCAGATAGCAACATTAAAAATGTTACTGGTAAGCTCTACAAAACAAGAAAATAAATTTTAAAAACTAAAAATTATATTCTTTTAGATGGAGTTTCGGCCCTATCGATACAGATGATAGAGGATCAAAAAAGGGATAAAAGTAAGTTACGCCGAATATTTAATACAAATACATAAAACATGCACAATTGTTTTCATTTTGCACCCCTTATGCAACATTTAATCCTTTGAAATCCATCCATTTGCGTCGCAAAATAATTTTGTGCACAGTGTGGCCATTAAAAACTAACCGATGGGCAAAATAAACTTACCACTTTTAAATTTGTTTAAAATTTGGGTACCCACTTAAATGGACCTCAAATAAGCAAAGTTTAATTGCTTTATACTTCCGTTAGACTATCCATGTCATATGCAAAGGTGATTCGATAAAAGCCTTTCTAAAAGGTGTATCCTGTGTCACCTAAAAACTTGAAACTTATTAATTACATAAATGAAATAAAAATGATATGTGATTAAAATATACATGTCCAATTTTATAACTGTAAATAAGGAATTCGATAAATTAACCTTTACGCGCGCGCGGAATTGTGTTTAGGCACTGACTAAGAAGGCCTGAGCTACTTACCATATTAATAAGTTTAGTTTAATAAAAAAACGCTAGGGTTGTCAAATTGTTGACATTTTTTTCTTCTGTAGCTTCAATTATAACGGAGTTAGAAATTCTAACTTAGAATGGTAGCAAAAGTGAGCAGATAAGTGGTTACCAACCTGAAAAATAATCTCCAAGCCATGTTAAGAAGATAGTTAAGACTTTTTTACATAATTTTTATACAAATTTTAAAAATAATGCTCCCATTTGGTCCATAGTGTGCATCTTCAAGTCCTTTGAAAAATTTATATATTCGACCTTATCGCACTGTGGATCATTTTAAAGAAGTCGATATTCGATTCCTAGAAGAACGTGTCTGCTGCGCACGGCGGCTTTAATTTTTACGTTACGACTAGTTGTCCCTGACCTTAGTCAACACACCCAAGCACAGGCCTCTCTTTCTCGTGGTGGCGGTCCTGTCAATAAATAAACCTCGACGTTTTACAATAGAGAAATTGTTTGTTTGCCACTATATGCGAAAATATGTTTGTTCTGTTTTGGGCTGAAGCACGTTCATAAAAAAAATTTATTAAAAAAGATAACAAAAAAATAAGAAATTTCTATAGATATCCATAAATATTTATTTGTCAATTACGGACTTCTTATTAAGTTTAATAATATGCGATTTACCTAAAATAGACTTCAACTTAAAGCGTGTGCTTATTAGGATAGTTTCTTAATTAGCTATTACTTGATTACATTTTCCATACAAGGATATCCTACATACATAGTATGTATTTTAGAAAAGATTAAAGTTAAATTTTAATAATATCTAGAACTATAATCAGGCCCAGATTTAGGGGAGGGCGAAGAGGACAACATCCTGTATATCAAGTGGAGGTTTTTGGGTTGTAATACCACTATAAATTCTAAAGCATTAATCGTCAAACTAAAAGACCAAAATTTGTTTCCAACATATATTAAATATAAGATAAATACAAATCTATTGTTTTATTTAAAAAAAATAAAAATTAAACACAGAAATTATTTTTTTAATTAAAAAAAAATAATTATTTTCTGTAAGTATTATGTTAAAACATACAATATTTAAAGAAAAATAATGATTTATAACCAAATAGAGAATTAAAAATCTGTATAAAAAATTTAAATTTCGTGAAACTGTGAGACACGGGTTTATGTTTAATCTGTTAAAATTGTTCATGGGAGGAAAATCGCGTTGAACTGTGTAATAGTTCATTTTACAATTTTTCCGAAACAATTTTAAAAATTATTAAGTACCCTTTTTATTAACCATAATAACTTTTTAGGTCCAAATGCAAGTAGATCGGCAGATTGGTAAGTTTTTTCTTTTTTGCTTAAAAATATCAAATATAAAAAAGATTATCGACTGCTTTCTATTTTTATTGTGCTATAATAATCGTTGTGGAATATTTTTTTATAGCAGGTAAGTGTTTATTATTTATTATAAATATTGATACAAGAATTATGACCAAGTATATTTCCTTAAATTTTAACAAAGCGATAAGTAATTTGACTTAAATAATCATCTATTCTTTAACGAACCATCTGGTCTATTTATTTCCGTTTGACTAATTTATTATTTACATTCCAATTTTGTTTGCTTGCTTATTTTCAAGGTCCTGATAAAAAGTTATCTGACAAGTAAGCAAACAGCTGCCTAAGGTGTTTATTTTTAGTTTTTATTTAAAACAAAAATGATACGCGGTCTTGTTGGCCTGTTATCATTTAAATTTTGAGAAATTTGAACAATGCGAAATGTTTCTTCGAAAAAGGTGAGCACGTGCGCGATCAGGTCAAAAAACGGCACGTGTTCTTTGTCCGAAAATTGCCCAAGAACGGTTAAAGAAGCGCAGCCCCACTTTCGATTTTTCGTATTCTTTTTATTTCTTTTGAAGAAACGGAACCATTTGTCGCGCTACGACAGAGAGGGTCACCTTTATTATTTCGGGGGATCTTCAGGACAAAGGCTTGGATTTCGACCAACAGGTATTGACAGATGTTTTAATAAAGGTTTGTCGTCTGTTTGAATTGCGGTCCAAAAATGTTGGTGTAATTTTGCATAATGACTTAAAAAGTTATACTTTGTTTGCTTTAATGCAATTTTTATATTTAAGTGGTTATAATAAGTATTGATTTTTTTTATTTTTTTATCATATCAGTATGTCAAGTAAAAAATTTGACCAGTTATGTCAATTTTTTTTTCAACCAATTAAATCTTAATTAGCATATTGAATGTTATACCTACATACTCCTTACATCTTTTATTTATTTATAAATTTCACGAAAATTATTATAGTTTTATTACTGTACCTTGCGTCTAGCAACAAATAATTAAATTTATCTACATTGTAACAACTGCAATTTAATTATAATGTATATCAAATAAAAGAAAAATAATCAAGCTGTATCCGTGTTTTATACCATTAACAGCAAGTGAAATCTCACGCTCCGTTAACAAAACGCGAGATGGCGCATTGGTGTGCTAGTGTTATTTTGTTCAGTGAAATACGTCGAGTAACTTGTGCGGGTCTATTTTCAAGTTTGTTCTTTGAAATTCGCTGGTTTTGTATAAAAGATCAATTCGAACTTTTGAGATACATCAAAAGCAGGTAAGATATGTTTGTTTACTTTTATATTTTGTAATAATTCTCTTGTTTGGTAATGTTTGTGCCGACATGTTTGTTTTGATGATATAAGCGGCAATTTTGAAATTTATTTTTGTTAATCTCACTTCCGTTAATTTTTCAATTAACAAAATTATTTTTAAAACATTTTAGAAAACAATTTACTAATTATTTTTTAATACCTTTTTTTAGAAATGAAAACTAAAAATAATTCAAAACGTAAAAAATCCAAAGAATGCATGCAAAAGTTAAGGGAAAAGATAAAGAACGACCCAATTTTATACGCGGAATGTAAAAGAAAAGAAAGAGAAAGGTACCATGCAAGAAAAGAAGCTGGAAAAGTAAAATCTATAAATGACTTGAGTGAAAAAGAGAAGAAAAAGGCAAGAGCGCAATGGAGAGAAAGAAGCAGAAAGTTTAGAAATTCTGTAAAATCAGATAATAATCCAGGCCCATCCAGAAAAAAACCTACTGAAAAGAAAATAATTAAAGTTAAAATTAGTAGAAGTAATACAGAGTCTCTGAAAGAGGAAATTGTTAAGCTTCAAAAACAGCTGGAGCAATCTAAACGACAGAATGAAAAAGACCGCAAGCTAATTGAGAAACTTAAAAGTAAAACAACAAATTTCCCAAATATAAGTAAATGTTCAACATCAATAAAGGATGGTTCTAAAACGCCAAAAACTATTTTAATAGAATTTTAGTTAGGAAACTTTCCTAAGGAAAGAAGTAAATTGGTGGGTGGATCTCTCAATAATGCAAAGATGTAGACTGTTTTTTTTTCCATTTTTACTCTACAAAATAAGAAATCCTTATAACAATTGGCAGTCCATAACAAAGAAAGGAATATCATCAAGTATGATTGGAACTTTTTTTCCATTTTTTATAATGAATTCTTCATGGGTGATGTTTGAAGTAAAATACTAGATGTAGACTTTTTGTTCAATTTATTTGTGAAAAATAAAAACTTTATTATAATGGTGTATTTTATTTTATTGGGTTTAAAATTTGAAATTATTCTTTTAAATCTTTAGGTAATTACAAGTTTTTTTTTTTAGTAGAAGAACAATAAAAAAAATTTGATCATTTAAATTTAATTGTACCTTTTATGTATCGTTTAAAAAATGAAATTGTGCCTTGAAGATACTGTGCTTTGCTCAATTGTAGGCCTAAAGTAAAGTAACTATTATTTATGCATAATTTAATTTTAAGGTCACATTTATAAAGTATACTTGGGTCTTTAATTGTTGTACATATGTTTTACGTGATTTTGTGCAAATTGACATTAGCTTATGTCTTTATGTTTGCCTACGTAATCTTTTGAGAAGTTAAATAAAAAAATTAAATGTGAACCCTTCCCATTAATCCTATAAGACTTTTTAGACAATGGCATCCGATTTTTTTCCACTCTTTTTAAGCTTGCTGACCCTGCTGTTACCTACTCACATGCTCGCACACAATGATAATAAGAGAGCCCCTACCTTTAAGTCTATATCCACGCTTTCCGTTTTCTTTGTTACTGCCTTACCACCCCATTTCTTCGCCTTACGTGCAGATGTCTTCGAATTTCCTCTAGCAGCTGCGAACACGCGGATGTCCCCTTAGCCCCCCTCCCTCCCCCTTCCGCACCTTGTTTGCCTTTGTGACACGAATTCGGGCGCGCGTGTCGCATACTTTATTTATTAATAATGGGGATTTTTTAGCTTAAGGGGAACAGTGGCGTTTTTGGGGAGCAAAATATTTATTTATTTAAATTGTTACTTAATAGTTTCCACCTAGCAATTTTTTTAATTAGTGCCTTTCTAATGAATTTTAATATTTTGTAGCAATTTTTTTTTATTTTCTTCATCTGCAATATCAAATAATTTGTCAAAATTGGTTGTATTAAGATATAAAATTTAGCAAATTAAAGAAGGAGTTTTTTGAAAAGAGGATGTGGATGTGAAAATTTTACATATTTCAAATTTTTAACAAATAAAATTGGCTTTAAATTCTTCTTTATGTTCGTTGTAGATAAAGTATAGTACCTATGCAACTCGTTTTATAAACTTCTTCAGACACTTGTTTTTATTTTATTTTAAAAGTTTATTAACCTATTTTTAGTTGTATGTTAACATTTAGGTACCATTTAGGTACCAATTGGTACCTACTTAACTTATTCTTACATTGTACTTCAATAATTGTAGTACATGGTAATATTATCAAAACCAAAATCTATTTATTGAAATAATTTTCGTCGATTATTTTTAATATTTATTAAGTACCTACCTAGTCAACATTTTGATACGCCATTGGATAGACAGGTGCCTTAAAGGCAAGACGTATAAGTGATATGGGGAAGCATGGAGGCTCCATGTGGGGAAGTTTTACTTTTATTAGGTTTTGTTTGTTTTAAAATCTTAGAAAAATAAAAATACATTAAAGATAAAATAACTATAGTTATTTTATCTTATAATAATTAATATAATATTTAATATATTTATTATAATATTATATTATAATAATTTAGTTTTTATATTCCAATTGAAACATAACATAAAACACCTGTACAACAATTTACCAACAAAACAACAATCCCACTATTAAATAAGCATAAAACAAACATTTTTAATGGATATTTACATGAAATCCATTAATTCTATATCTTATCTTGTTTTCCCGTTTAAATAATTTTATTACAATGTTTTTATTTGGTTTAGAATATCTACACTGTCTGGGCCACATTATTGTATAGGCCTCTTTAGCTCAGTGGTAGAGCACTGGTCTCGTAAACCAGGGGTCGTGAGTTCAAACCTCACAGGAGGCAGTTTAACTTTTTTATTTTTTCCTTTGATGGATTTTTGTTTTTGAGATTTTTAAATTATTACAGGTGGTTTTAGGGCTTTATGGGTATTATTTTTTAATTTAATTATTTTTTTATGTTAGTGGAGAAGTTAATTTCTTTGTTAGATTTGGCTATATTAAATGGGGTAGTTAAATTTTTTCTGACCTATACTTTTTATGGTTTTATTCAAGGCGTTTTGTAATTTTAAACATCTTTGTGAAATCGGAATTTCAATTAAGTTTACCGTTTTCGAGATATTTACAAAAAAAAGTCTCCTAATTACGTCACTAGGCTATTGACAACGTTGCCAGCTTTTTCTATGGTGTTTAGTTTAAGATTCTTACGATAGATGGCGCCACGTTATAATATTTTAGTTTTAAAACTACTTGATCTAAAATTTTAGTTGAGAAGAAGAAGAAGAATTGATTTTTTGACGTTTCTTTTTTTCGGGTTAAAATTTAGATTATTGAAAATCAATGTTATTGTTATGTTATTTGTAATTGATATTAGATAAGTGATTTATTAATAACGGACTCCAAAGCAAAGGAATCTTGTGGAATGGTTGGTTACATTGAACATTGGAGCTTTTAAACAAATAAATTAAGTATCTATAATTATAATCATATTTTGTCGTAAATGCATTTCATTAGTATAATGCCTAGTTCTTTATATTCTTTTAGATATATCTTGGACTCTAAAATATCAAACAGTAATATGATACCTCGTAATAAGGAAGATAGGTACTTAATGAATTTGGTGACCATCTTTCACTCAACTGACAGTGACAGTATTTGTACATAACCTCTTCGGGTATTTTCTGACATAACCGAATGAAATCATTAACAAGACAACTTGACAACAGGGTAATTTTCAACCAATAGAAATCTTAGAATGTTGGTCACATGGCGAGGTTTGTGACGTCATAAAAATGTATATTTTTTGTAAATATCTCGAAAACGGTAAACTCAATTGAAATTCTGATTTCACAGAAATGTTTAATATTACAAAACGCCTTGAATAAAACCATAAAAAGTATAGGTCAGAAAAAATTTAACTACCCCATTGTAGATATACCTAGCAATATAAAAAAAATTATATTTAAATTTTTATATGTACATATACATATATATAATATAAATATATATATACAAGGTGTCCCGAAAATGGCTCCAACACGGCTGGTACCTTTATCACCCCGGTTTTTAAAAAAAAACAAAAATTACAAATTTGTTTTTAATTAATAGTTTGCTTATATTATATAGTTAAGTTATAAGTTTAAATTAAGTATATTATATAAATAAATTTTGAGATAATTTATCTATATAAAAAATAGAAAATAATGTTAAGAACTCACTTCAAAAAAGTTAAAATTAGATGAAAATAACCAAGTTACGATAATTTAATGTTTTGAATTTTTTTTAACACAAATGTTGTTTATTTTGGTTTCATAACAACCGTTTTTAGATGTTTCATAAATGGGCTTAAAAACAGTGTTGCCAAGTTTTTTTAAACTTAAATGCTTAATAACTTCAAAAGTTGTCGGAAAAAATTTGCAATTTTCTATATTTACTTTTATACTTACTTTTCTAGAATATAACATTTTTATTCAAAAAGCTAAATATAAAGAGTGTTATTTAAAATTTGATTTAATTTTTCAAATTAGTACTTTTATTAAATATGTTTGCACTTAACAAATAAAACTATTTAAAATACGTTCAATTTCCATTATATCATCTTTATGAATCGTTTATTGTTAAAACAAGCTAAGCGACATTTTTATAATATAATAATATAATATATGAAATATTTAATTTAGCAAAATATACTTTGTTAGTAGGTATATTAAAAAAATATATTTTTATGACAAAAATTTGGTTATAACAGCAACGTCCACCATTATTAGTTTTTATGATGATTGAATTAAAAAATGAATAAAATCATATTGAGTCACTTAACTTGTTTTAACAATAAACGATTTAAATATTTTTCTCTAAAGCCACTTTTTTAAGTTTGGAAACAGATAATAGTCGATGGGAGCCGAGTCTTAAGAATATGGTGGATGGAGAAACAATTTATAGCCCAATTGGTTCAATGTTGACATCGATTTCATCATGTTTTTTCTTCGCTAAATGTTGATATAAACTATTTCTGATGCTAAACAAATTTTTTTCCTGATTCTTAGTTGGCTTAGGCGAAAGCCAACTAAGAATCGCCTATAGGCGATGTTCAATCGCTCCCTCATCCGCCTTATTACCCAGATTTAACTCCTAGTGACTTTGTTTTGTTTTCAAACCTGAAAAAATGGCTAGGCGAAAAAAATTCGGCTTCAACAATAAAATCATCGCTCAAAAATTACCCAGACCTCAACAAATCTTTTTATTTGGAGGGAATCAAAAAATTGGGGAAAGGCTAATTATCTTTGAAGGCTGTTTAGGCAATAGACAATAACCTATAGGTAGTTTTGTATACATATATGTATACATTGTATAGATTATAATCTATACTAATTTTCCTCTTTATAACAAAGTAACGTTACATTGCGTGTTCTTTCATCGTTTTAAACATCGAGAACCTTCAAGTATTATCAAAGGACAAAATTACAATAATCCTGATTTTCATTAACCTTAAAAAGCATTCAGATTTGCCATAAAGGGTATGTAGTTGCAAAATTTAAGAGCAGGTCATACAAATGATTATTCGAAATGTAAAACTTTTGAAGAAACTACAATGACTGGAAGTTTTTTCTTTAGTTCCATAAAAGAACTATGAAAGAACCTTTTTTATAAAAATAAAAATAGTATCCCTGATATTGCGGCGACACCCTTTACACACATATATCAATATTCTTGTTGTCCTGGATTCCTGTGACCCAGTTAGTCGTAGTTGCCCTTACGCAACGAGTAAAATGTGTACTAATGATAAACGTAACGGGCCGAAGGATCGTGGGAAGAGGAAGCGGTTACGTTTGTACTACATGGAGGCGCAACGTCGATACGATACGATACCCTACGCCCTGTTCGTGACAGACATGCCAAACGGCGGCAAAAACGGGGGGTGGAAGGTTACCCAACCGGCGCACAGGGCTGCAGAAACTTTATTTTGGTATAGATGATTTCGCATGTTAAAAGACAACTTTTAACATTACGAGGGCCTATTGGTATGTACTCTGCTCCAC